ATTGTACTTCGTTTCGGTTACGTGACCTTTATTCCGCCTAGACGACGTTTTTATCTTTTCCTTCCTTTTTCCCTTTCTTGCTCCTCTTCCGTGTACTATACCGTCTCTCCACACACCTTGATTCATTGCGCCCTTTACATTTTCGCGTTTCCAACCTCTTTTTTATCACAGCACTTCTCCTTTAATCTTGTTACGCAATGTTTGCTTCACTCACCTGCCAACCAATCACTTCGATGTTTGAAAATTCGGTTATTTGCTGATACTCCCCAGTGTCACTAGCACTAGAGGAGCCCTTTTCAAAAAGCAATTCCCTTGACGGCTTCCCTGGCCTTCCCCCTCTTTGTCGCCTCGGAATCCCCCGTCGTCTCAAGCCGGCGATTCCGGAAATTGCAGTCATCCCCGGCGTGAGAATGAATCGTTTCCCATAACATCCCTGAAGCCCGTACACCCTCCCCCGAAATCTCCCCCCGGCTTAGGATTAAAACGTGTCCACTTTTATAGGAACCTCAAAAACCTCGATTTTTGTCGGGGTTCGCTTATGAAAAGGGCGCGCGGTTCTTTGTCTTCGCATTTTCCGGAACTCCACGGTTGGAGGTCACACATCTGGCGTCCGAGTCAATTATTTCAGCAGAGTGCCCGATGACCCTTTCCTGGGGTGAATTGCCCACACACAGGCAGTCACAGTCACCTCTTGCTGCCTCAAAACTCACGCTTTTTCACTTTATTTTTACAAAAAACCGGCGACTTTTCGGCGATTAGTAAAACTACAAATAGTTATTGCTGTAGGAAGGCTATTATGTATGGTTATGTCTTTGGGCTGTTTTTCTTAGTATTTTCTAGCTAGCTGAATTTCCTAATTTCCCATTTTTCAAGCTTTACTAACTCAAACGGCACACGCTACTACCCGGAAAATATATAGCTAAAATCAGCTTCTGCAAGCCATTCATCGACCCACGGCCGAATTGCCGGAATTTGATGGGATTCCGAAGGGCCGAAGCCTTAGGACCGGGCGTTATCAGTTGTTGAGGGCCGACGCGAATTCCCCCCGCGGAATATTGTTTGCCCTTATCGCGCTCGTCGAACCGCGAGAACTGTAGGGGGGTGGCTCATCGCTTCACCCGATCCATATCGATCAAACCTAGGCTGATTATCGCTTATGTGCCGATCAGGCGCCATTCCACTTCCGGTGCCGTTAGGGATTCATTCACTCGCTTTTCTACGGCGTTATTCACCAATCTATGAATTCATCGTTCATGAACGACGACCCTTTTTCATCTTTGTAAAGGTCCGCCCAATCTCGAGGCCCAGCTAGAATTTGGGTGCACCGAATGCACATTGGACGGTGGATCCGATCCACGAATGGGCTCCCCGGCCCTCCGGAAATTGACAGTTCTCCCCGTCGGGGGCCGCTCCTCATCATTGTTTGCATTGTGTCGGCTTTTGGCTAGAAATGAAGCAGCTTATCCACCACCCCCCAGTCGTCGGCCACGCTTTTTATTGGAATCCCGATTTATCGCCGCAGTCTGGCCCTATCGATCGTCGAGTTTCATAGCCTTTGGCAGGAACCCCGCTGGAAGATCACTCAATTTCTTCGTTTCTAAATCGTGGATATCCTTCTAGATCATCCTTTTTTGACGCCAAAGAACAAAAACCAATTGTTTGTCGGTTTTTCCGCTTTTCGTTTTCTATCTTGCTAATCCTACTCAACATACGATTTCCTACTGCCACGAGACCGGTTTTTGGTCGGCGATGACCCGCGGTCCGGGAGCAGCTTTTCGATTCGACCCATGCAAGTTCCAATCCCGCGCCCCTCCCGGCCGCAAATATTCCCCCACGAGCATTGATCTTCTCCCTTTCATTCTGATTCTGCTCTTGTTCTTGCCTCAATGACGAGAGGTAACTTTCTACTTTCTATTGACCGCTCGCTCCATTGAATTTTTTAGCACTATTTTACTGATTTCAGGTAGTTTTATGTCGGGCGCGGGCACGCGGGTCGACCCGACCCGACGGCATCGGCTCGACGCATGACGTGCCGGAGATTAAAGAAAACATGGTGCGTATTTTTGGTAGCAATCCGAATGAATTTTCCAAGAAGTTTGCGCCAAATTCTATGATTTTTGTTTTAGGTACCAAATGGAGCGCCCACCGGTCTTGGATGTTCTGATGCCACTGATCCGCCACTGATCGATTTCGGCGACGATAGCGAGAATATTGCACAAAAGGTCGACACCCAGAAGAAGCCAGACGTTGCCACAACAAACGGTAGCACAGCCGACCCTTTGACCGTCATGGAAACCTTCTTGAAATACGAGGCCGGACTGGAACCCCGGGATTATATCACAAATTTTTTCGTAAGTTTTTAGTCTGTTTTATCCTTGCTACCGCCGAAATTTCAAGCAACTGCTTGGTTTCAGAAAATACGCGTAGAACAAGAAGACATGCGGCGTTTGCCTGAATACGAGTCCCTCATCGCTACCTCACCAATGCACTATCAAAGGAATCGCTACCGTGACATATTGCCATGTAAGAATTGTTGGTTATTTTTTACAACTGCTTACAGACGACGCTAATCGGGTGGTGCTCAAATTGATCGACCAGGCGGAGAATGGCGAGGGCTACATCAACGCCTCAAATATTGACCTCGGTGGAACGAAGTGAGTTGCCTGAAAATTGGATAAATTCATGATTTTTTAGATTTATCGCCGCCCAGGCCCCTCTTCCAACCACGTTAGGCGAATGGTGGGCCATGATAGAGGAATTTGACGTTTCGCTGGTAGTTATGCTATGTCGACTCGTCGAGATGAGCAAGGTTGGTTCACGAATTGTCAATTTTTATTTCAATTTTCTAGATCAAATGTGAACGCTATTGGCCGGAGACTGTTGGCGAATCACAAATATACGGGGACAACTATGAAGTCACGGTGCGAATTTCGGTCTTGTTTAGGAGATTGTTCTGGGGAATGTTTTGATCTTTTCCTTCCAGGTGGAAGCCGAAGAGCGGTTTGACAGCGATGACGAGTACGTCCTGCGGCGGTTACGCTTTGAAAACATGACAACGGGCGTGAAAAAAGTCGTGCATCAGCTCCATTACACGTTGGTGTTTTGCAACCTGGTTTCTACTTTGTTTTTCAGGGAATGGCCCGATCATGGGTGTCCGGCCGGGGAGCATCAATTATTGCGGATGATCGACAAGATGGCCGAGTTGCAGGAGGGCAGAACATCACCTGTACTTGTACATTGCAGGTAGAGGTTTTTTTTAAAGAAATCTTGTCCTTTATTAACCCGTGTTTTACCGTATTCTCACCTCCTAATTTTCAGCGCTGGAGTTGGACGAACGGGTACCATCATTGCCGTCAACCACGTGCGGGAGCTGATCAAGGCAAATGTAAGGCTGATCCGGCTACCTAATAAACCTCCTTCTCCTTTTTTAGAAATTGACCGAGCTGAACTTGTACGATCTGGTGATGCAACTGCGGACGCAGCGCTCGTCGATGGTCCAGACCCAGGACCAATACCAATTCGTGCACAAGTGCGTCGCCCACTACTGCAAGGAGCAACTGGGGCTGCCCATCCCCGAACCAGCGCCAAAGGTATGTTCTAGGAATCGTTTTTTTTTAACCTGCCCCTTTTGCAGGTCAAGCCCAATGGCGAGACCTCGGCTGGGGGATATGCGCTAGCGCCACCACCACCAGTATTTATTCAGAAGAAAGAAGCAGTTGAAGACGATGATGACGATGCGGTGATTCAGTGGGGGCATTATTATAGCTGACAGCCTTTCCTGCATCATTTCCTTTACATTTATTTATTTTCAGCCTACCCTGACGAGCCGGATCGCCCTCTTGGGCCAGAGACGAGCTGAGGGCGCGCGGGACTGGCGCGATTGGCGAACAGGTTTCGGGGAGCGGTCAAAGGCCAGCATCTGGTTCGTATTTTTGCTAAGCTGAATTTGCTTTTATTGAAACAGCTGAATTTAATATATTTTTCTCAGGGAGCGGGAGAGGGCGTCCCGGCCGGGTTCACCGGCCTCCACCTCTATGATTTCTGCCAGCAGCTTCCCGTCAACTGTCTTCGCCCGTCACCGAGGAGATTTCGATTTGTTATGCTCTTTCGGCATATCAGTAATTAAAACGACCAGCGAGCTTGGCAGCTACCCCGTGAATTTGCGAATTGCATTTTTCACCTTCGCCAAACCTTGACGACGATTGTCAACCCCCTTTAAACACTCCTTTTCAACTCTCCCCTAGTTTTAAAGTGGTGTTGGTGTTACGCGGTAGTTGGGAGGCTTTTTACCCCTCGCTTTTCCCTCGGTACTACTACGTAGCCACCCTTGGAGAGTTTCTAACCGACACCACCAACTAGGCGTGTCACAAACAGTCCCACCCCCTTTGCACGCGTATTAACCAACCCTCTGTCATTTCCGGTGTCCGATCCATTCGCCTGGCCCATTTTTTGCGGATCGTAATATGTGGTCCATAGGCGAATCGGATTTATTTTTCCCCGCTTTCGCACGATAGGATTTGCAATTCCCGGAGTTATTCTGCCACCCATCTATTCCATCACCACTCTTCGCTTTTGCCAAGCTGTACCCACTCTGATTTTGTGCCCGCCCTCCTTGAAACGTTGTCCATTCAAATGAGAGACACGAGTCTTTTTCTTACGGCTATTACCCATTGTTTAGATTTGATTTGTGCACTTTTTCAAGCCCTGCTGGCAATATTTTTCTCCCGAGCCTAACATTGCTATTGCTAACATCAATGGACGCCACCTTTGTGCTCCTCTAAAATTGCGCATCGCCCACCCCCCACTAGTAACTGGGCCCTGTATTAATGGCCAACTTCCCTTGTGATTGTGTGATATTTGTCTTCCACACGGTTCTCACGACCACTTTGTGAGCCTCATCTTCTTGGTACCACCCCCCGCACATTCAGATATGCGGCTCCAATCCATCTAAGTCAATAGACCGTCTGTTTCTGGTTGCCGTTGTGCATCATCACCCGTTTCCGACCACTTCGCCATTGTGGCCGCGAACGACGAGAATGTAAATAAACGGATACCGTATCCAACTTAGGGGAAACCCCGATTCGACCGCCACCCAACGAATACCTTAATACACATGGGATGAAAACTCTAATGGTCGCTTTAGAAAGTGCGAATAAGCAGATCACGAGCGTCATTACCACAGGAAGGCCCGGCAAGGTGAGATTCTGACGTTGCTGGAAGCGTTCTCTTTAGAAGCCTAGTGACCGAGTCGAATTGCACCAGAATTCCCTCCCTGAAGTCTCGACCAAAATAGACCAAGAAACACGAACAGAACTGATTTTGGGAAAATTTGCAGAACAGGT